TTCTCTCTCTAAGAACTCTCTCTCTCTCCCTTTGACCTCTCTCTCTCTTGAACTTCTCCCTCTCCCCCCCTCCCTCTCTCTCTCTCTCTTTGAACTTCTGTCTCTCTTTGCACTTCATTACAGCCAAAACCTAAGGGCACAAAGCCATTAGAGGTCAGCAGCTCCCTCTTTATTGTTTTTCCTCTTTTAAAAATCTAGGAGAGGAGAGAATCATCCTCAAAACTTCTGAGGAGTTATTGTCGATCACAATTGTTTACAACTCTAAATACATTGTTTGCAGCTGTAAGCATATTATCCTTGATAGTGACTTTGCTATAAAGTCGCCCTATACAGGTCAAGAAGATATCTATAAAAATTCTTAACCCGTGCGCCTCAAAGAAAGAAAAAGAAAAGAAAAAGGGGAGACTAGGAAAATAGTTTGAGGGGTAGGGTTCTTGGAACCCCTATCTTGTGTGGAATTCAAAATCCCAAATACTGGGATCTAACCCAATGTTTTGTTTGTAGCTATAAGCAAATTATCCTTGACAATGACTTTACTAAAAAAAAGCCGTCCTATACCGGCCAATATGATATCAATAAAAAATCTTAACCCTTGTGCGTTAGAAAGAAACAAAAAAAAAAAAAAGAGGGAGACCAAGAAAATAGTTTGAGGTGTAGGGTTTTCGAGAACCCCTAGCTTGTAGAACCGGGAATCCCAAATCATGTACATAATTAGCCAAATGTGAAATAGATTAATACAACTCTAAATTTAGTGTGAGAAATAAAACAAACACAAAAATACACCACCACAATACACGATTTACGTGATTCACTGCGTAGGGAAACATCTACGGTCTCGGGAATTAGAAATCTACTATTACAATGAATATTATAGTTTTTTGTTGCAAGAGATATACTTCTCTTTAGATATCGGTAAAAGACCATCATCAATCTTCCCTTCTAAACTCGCTCTCCCCACCGAACAACACCGTCGATCAATACCTTCTTTTCCACCGCAATACCGCTACCAAAAAAATTATATCTAGAGCAACTGAGAGATTTTCTCTCTCTAGAAGTGAAACTTTAACCAACCCAAAACTCAAAAGAATACCGCCTCTCTCTCGGAGGCCATGTCGCTATCTTGGAGACCAATATCCATCTTTGGAGATCCATTCTCATAACCCTAAAAAAGGTGACCGCCAACAGGATGAGTCTTACGTTTGCCTTGATCCACTTTTATAGATATCACTTGAGCTTCTTTCTTGCTCCCCAAGAAACCCATTCTTCTTATCCCGTAATACCCTTAACCTTTTAGAATAAAATATGGATTGGTGATTTAGCTACCACTAAACCCAACAATCTCCACCGTGATAGCAAAATCACCATAATTTCCTTGACAGTGTTCATTGAAAAGATTTATTCTCACTTGCATTCATTGTAGAATTTTCACAAATATTTTGCCTCCATATTTCTTTACCTCAAGCTATGGATCCATCATACATCATTCTCTTAATGTAAGTCTTAACCCCGTACATACCTTACACGTTGCATTGTGGGTTTCTAGGGAACCCCTAGCTTGTGAAGCCGAGAATCTCAAATTCTATTATCCAACCCAAGATCATGTACATGATTGGCTAAATGTGAAGTAAAATAATACAACTATAAATTGAGTACGAAAAATAAATCAAATATAAAAAGGCACCACTACAACACAACATTTACGTGGTTTACCCCGTAGGGCTACATCCACAGTCTCGATAATTACAAATCCACTATCACAATGAAGATTACAGTTTTGGATTACAAAAGATATACCTCTCTCTAAACATCCGTAAAAGACCATCGTCGATCTTCCCTTCTAAACTCGCTCTCCCGACGAAGCAACATCGTCGATCAATACTTTCTTTCTCACCGTAATACCGCTACTAGAAAGATAACTTCGAAAACGACCGAGAAACTTTTTCTTTCTAAAAGTTAAACTTTAACCAACTTAAAACTCACGAGAATACCGCCTCTCCCTCGAAGGCTATGTCTCTCTCTCTAAGAGACCAATTTGCATATTTAGAGATTTATTCCCAAAACCCCCAAAGGTGACCCTCATCAAGATGAGTATTATGTTTTCCTTGATCCACTTTTATAGAGATTACTTGAGCTTCTTTCTTGCAGCCCAAGAAACCCATTCTCTTTGTCCCATAATACCCTTAATCTTTTAAAATAAAATATAGATTGGTGATTTGGCTATCATCTAACCCAACAAAAAGCCTCACCTCATAACTCATCAAAAATTACAATTCAATTGTTGAGAAATATTTAAAGGAAAATGGGTTGACAGGGATGCAACCCTATCAAAATAAGTAAAGCCCCACCTCATAACTCATCAAAAATTGCAGTTCAAGTGTTGGAAAATATTTAAATCGATCATCTCAGCCTGAACATTGTGGTTGTGATAAAAAATTAAGATTTCAAATTCTAAAAATAGTGTATTTTACAATAAATTATCTACTATCCATTTTGCCCTAAAAATAAGTGTTCATATATCCACAAAATCTGTACCATTTTTTGAGTTTCGAATTTTGTTGCCAGTGTTGGAAATTGATTTTAGAGCCATCATGGATATTTTCAATGTCGAAAGTGATTTTCGAATGAGGATTTGAGGTGAGACTTTATTTTGTTTTCATAAAGCCTAGGCCCTATGAAAACTCTGTCTTTTTATTTGACGAAAGTGGTTTGATAGGTAGGGCTACAGCCCTATCTTAATAAGTAAAGCCTCAACTTATAACTAATCGAAAATTGCAATTCAAGCATTAGACATCATTTGCATCGATCATCTTGACTTGAACATTATGGTTGTAAAAAAATTGGATTTTAAGCTCTAAAAATAATGTATATTGTAACAAATTATCTACTATTCATTTCGCCCTAAAAGTAGGTGTTCATAGATCCGCAAGATCAATGCCATTTTTTGAGTTTCAAATTTCATTATCGGTGTTGAAACTTGATTTTAGAGCCATCATGGAGATTTTCAATGCCGAAAGTGGTTTCCGGATGAGGAATTGAAGTGATGCTTTATTTTATTTTCATAAAGCCTAGGCCTTAGAGAAACCTCATCCTTTATTTAATAGGAAAAGTTTATATAGAACCAAGGCTCAAAACAAACAAATTTCAGCACCTAAAAAATTTCACTTGAAGAGGTTGTTTTGATACCTGAATATCCTCAAATTGATCATCTGAACATCAAGATATGAGAAAAAAAATAGATTTCAAGTTTCAGAAATAAAGTATTTTGTAACACATTTTTGGACCGTCAATTTTGAAGATTTTCAAGTTTTCATAGATATGCCGATATACACTACTTTT